CGACAAGATGGTGGCCAGACACGGAGAGTTCCTTAGCATAATAAGATTAGGGTGGGGAGAGCAGCTTTTGGGTGTGCTATGTAAACATCACATTTGATTGAACCAATCTGTGAGCCCTACCTAAATCAGACACCACCTCCCCAAGCTTGACTATAAAATCCGGGGCATCCACAGCCAGCCCATCTTTTCCGCTGGGAAGACCCCTCTCTCTCGACAGAGAGAGCTATTTCTCTTTTCTTCTGCCTATTAAACCTCTGCTCCTAAACTCCTCATGTGTGTCTGTGTCCTAAATTTTCTGATGCCAGAGGGCGAACCCCTGGATATATACCCCAGACAATGTAGCCTCTTCAGCACTGGAAAACCAAATTCAGTCACCTGAGATTTCTAGCTCAGGTGCTCACAGGAAGATGAAGGCATCTGGGAAGTGTGGGGTTGGCACACTTGGGGCTCCAACCAAACTGTATTTAAATAAGCAGCAACATATTGACTCCCTAAGGACTAACATATCCATTTGAAGGCATCTTGAGGTTCTAAGGTTGAAATAATTTTATAATTCTTTTTTTTTTTTTGAAAAGTACATTCAAAAGAAAACAAAAAGATGAGGATAAGGTCGGGGGCATATAAAACAAGTCCCTAAATAGATGACAGACCTTGTCCATGTACCCACATACAGTTGCCACAGAAATATACAGTACCCTTCTCCTCAATGAGGCTAAATAGTTGTCCTTTCCTCTGTGGTTCAGTATGTTTTAATAGTTCCACCATGAAATAGGTAACAATCTTTGGAAAAAGTCACTATAGGTTACAAAAAGGTTTTATGTATACAGTTTGCTACAAGTAACAAGCTACTTTGCAAGAACTGCTTCTTTCCAAACAACAACAACAACAAATGATTCTAGCCTGTATTTGTTTGGGTGTGATTTATTTTTAGTTTTCATTTTTTGCAAAGCAGCACAGAAACAATTATCAGAGTGTAGTAACAACCTTTGTAAACATCATTTGCATATCAGTAAGAACCGATTGTCTTTCATTCCTTTTTAGTGAAAGAGGAAGCAAGATGATCAACTGAGAGTAAATAAGGTGGGGAAGTGCTGGCAGTTTGAGATTTGTCATCTAGGATTGCAATGCACCGAGTGGCCAGTTGGGGAGCCTTTGGTTACTGACTTGCCAGGAGATGAGTACAGAAAGTGAGAGTAAGCTTTTAGAAACTTTTATAGCACTTGACATTGCTATAACATTTTTATTGTATTTTTTAAAAGTATTGGTCTATAATGGATTGGAAATAAAAACATCTAGTCCTCACAACAGATAGTTTAAGAGGCATTGGGCCAAGAGAGTGGGAGAAAATGGAGTAGGGAAAGGTAGAAAGATTGCTGCACTGCATTGAGGATCCACCTGAGGCTTGTGGCCATGAATTTCATGTGAGGCCATTCGATTCAAGAGTGTTTTTCTCCAGCCTTGTTTAGCTATGTTGATACAGGCAGTGTTGGATTTTACCAGGGTGTGGTTTTGCTAAGTGGGTCTAATGCAGTGGGAAGATGCAAGTGTTTAGGAAGTATGTCAGTGAGGTGTACGGAGACTGATCATGGCATTTTAAGCTGGGGGAAGAAGAAAGCAGTCACGAGGAGGGCGAGAGGCAGTGAAGAAAGTGGTAGAATTGATGGAATCTAGGACCAGGAAAAATCAAGTTTGCTGGGGTTGGAATGTAGGACCAGGAAGGAGTGAACTAGAAGTATGAATGGTGGTGATCAGAGAGTGGGATTCCTGATAATGAGATTCATCACAACATTGCTCACCAAGTGGGAGGGAATCTGAATCAATTATTTTGTATGTCTCCAGCGGACTATTTTGTAGCCATTAGAGGTCATGTTGTCATTCTATTTCTTTACGGACACAGAAATGTTCAGGATATGTTAAGTGAAAAACGCTTACCAATTTGCAAAATTAAGTTGCAAAGTTTACTAATTTTTTTTTTGGTAAAAATATAAACATTTTAATGCACAGAAGTCTTAACTGTGGTAGTAACTGTGGTTGAATCACAGATGCCTTTTACTTTCTGTTGGATAATCTCCTTTTTGTGTTTGAGACAGGGTCTCCCTCTGTTGCCGAGGCTGGAGTGCAGTACAAACACGACTCACTGCAGCCTTGATCTCTTGGGCTCAGGCTCTTGCTTCAGCCCCCCATGTAGCTGGGACCACAGGCATGTGCCATCATGCATGGCTTATTTTTATATTTTTTGTAGAAATGGGGTTTTAGCATGTTGCCCAGGCTGGTCTCAAAATCCTGGGCTCAAGCCATCTGCCCACATCGGACTCCCAAAGTGCTGGGATTACAGGTGTGGGTCACCACGCCCAGGCTATTTGATAGAATTCTTACATAGGCGTATTTTAGAGATACTGGGGATTCAGTTCCAGCCTATTGCAATAAAGCAAGTATCTCAATAAAGTGAGTCACGCAAATGTTTTGGTTTCCCAGTGCATATAAAAGTTATGTTTACACTATGCTATAGTTTATTAAGTGTACAATAACATCATATGCAAGAAATACCTACCTTAATTAAATATACTTTATTGCTAAAAAATACTGGCACAGAGTCACAAAGTGAGAACTTTGGAAAAATAGTGCTGACAGACTTGCTTGATGTAGGGTTGCTACAAACTTGAAATTTGTAAAAAAAAAACAAAGCACACACACACACACACACGTACAGTATCTGCAAAGCACAATAAAATGAAGTGCAATAAAGTGAGGTATGTGTGCTTTATTGTTATATTCTTATAGCTTTATTAAAGTATAATTTGCATGCAAAAGTTCACCAGTTTTAAGTGTACCATCCTATAACTTTTGACAAATGTATAGTTTTGAAACTACCACCACGTTCATCTTGTAGAACATTTCTCTCATGCCAAAAATTTCCCTTGTCCCCTTGTGCAGTCAATCTCCTCTCCCACTTCCCGGACCCTGGAAACCAGTGATCGGCTTTCCATCATGATAGTTTTGTCTTCTCTAAAATTTTATATAGATAGGATCATATCATATGTCATCTTTTCTGTCTGGCTTCTTTCACTTAACATAATGCTTTGGAGATTCATCATTGTTCTTGTGTGCATCAATGTTTATTTCCTTTTAAAGAGTAGACATATTTTAGAGTAGTTTTAGGTTCACACTAAAATTAAAGGGGAGGTGCAGGGATTTCCCACCTACACCTTGCCCCTACACATGCACAGCCTTCTTCATTATCAGCCTCTCCCACTAGACTGATAACATTTGTTACCACTGATGAACCTATCCTGGCATATCGTCATCATCCGGAGTCCAAAGTTCACATTAAGGTTCACTCTTGGTGTTGTACATCCTCTGAGTTTGGACAAATGTATAGTGACATGCATTCATCATTATAGTATCATACAGAGTAGTTTCACTGCCCTAAACATCTTCTGTGTTCTGCCCATTCATCCTTCTACCCTTTCTAACCTCTGGCAGTCACTGGTAGTTTTACTGTCTCCACAGTTTTTGTCTTTTCCATAATATTATATGGTTGGAGTCATACAGTATGTAGCCTTTTCAGGTTGGCTTCTTTCACTTTGTAATATGCATTTAAATTTCCTCTGTGGCTTGTCATAGGTTGATAGCTTATTTCTTTTTAGCACTGAATAATGTTCTGTTGTCTGGATTCACCACAGTTTGTTTATCCATTTACCTATTGAAGGATGTCTTGGTTGCTTCCAAGTTTTGGCAATTATGAATAAAGCTGCTATAAACATTCATGTGCAGCTTTTTTGTGTGTGTGCGTGTGGACATATATTTTCAACTCCTTTGGGTAAATACTAAGGAGTTGTATTTTCAACTCCTTTGGGTAAATACTAATGTTGCCCAGGCTGGTCTCAAACTCCTGGGCTCAAGCAGTCTGCCCACGTCGGCCTCCCAAAGTGCTGGGATTACAGGTGTGGGTCACCACGCCCAGCCTGTTTGATAGAATTCTTAACATAGGCATATTTTAGAGATACTGGGGATTCAGTTCCCGCCTATTGCAATAAAGCAAGTATCTCAATAAAGTGAGTCACACAAATGTTTTGGTTTCCTAGTGAATATAAAAGTTATGTTTACACTATGCTATAGTGTGAAGGAGAATGAGTGCTGGATCATATGGTAACAGTGTGTTTAGTTTGGTAAGAAACTTCCAAACTGTCTCCCAAAGTGGTTGTACCATTCTGCATTCCCACCAGCAGTGAACGAGAGCATTCTCTCAAGCATTTGGTGTTGTCAGTGTTCTGGGTTTTGGCTATTCTTATACATGTGTATCTTGTTGTTTTCATTTGCCTTTCCCTGACAACATATAATCTGGAACATCTTTTTACATGCTTGTTTGCCATCTGTGCCTCTTCTTTGGCAAGGTGTTTGTAAAGTTCTTTGGCCCATTTTTCAATCAGGTTGTTTGTGTTCTTACTGTTGAATTTTAAGAGTTCTTTGTGTATTTTGGATAACAGTTCTTTATCAGATAGTTTTTTGCAAATATTTTATTCCAGTCTATGGCGTATGTTCTCATTCACTTGACTTTATCTTTCACAGAGCAGAAATATTTAATTTTAATAAAGTCCAACTTATCAACTCTTTCTTTTGTGGATTGTGCCTTTGGTGCTGCATCTAAAAAATCACCACCAAATTCAGACCATCTAGATTTTCTCCTGTGTTATCTTCTAGGGGTTTTGTAGTTTAGTGTTTTACATTTAAGGCTGTGATCCATTTTGAGTTAATTTTTGTGAAGGGTGAAATGTCTGTCTAGATTCATTTTTTTTTGCATATTAATGCCTGGTTGTTCCAGCATCAACTGTTGAAAAGATTATCTTTGCTCCATTGTATTGCCTTTGCTCCTTTGTCAAAAATCAGTTGACTGTATGTATGTGGGTCTAATTCTTGGCTCTCTGTTTTATTCCATTGATCAATTTATTCTTTCACCAATGCTACATTGTCTGCAGTTTTGTGGCATGTCTTGAAGTTGGGTGGTATCAGTCCTCCAACTTTGTTCTTCAATACTGCGTGGACTATTCTGGTAATTTGTTCTTTTTTGTGTGGAGGAATATACTTTTGTATGAATAGACCACAATTTGTTTATCCATTCACCAACTAGTAGACTTGGGGTTGTTTCAAATTTTTGACTATTATGAATAAAACTGTTATGACCTGGGAGGAGGTACTCCCCTTACAGACTGAAGTTGTCCAATGTGAGGAGGAATTGAATTCCCTGAAACAGAAGCTGGCGGTGGCCCTTTTGGCGGAGCAGGAACTGCAGCCAGAACGAGTGGTTCCGGTGTCGCCGCTACCGCGGAAGTCGGCACTGTCCCGAGATGAGATTCTGCGCTGTAGCCGGCAGCCAGTGCTGTCAGAGCTGGGCGTGCACTGACACGTGCTAGTCGTGCGCTGCGGTGGGCTCCGCTGTCCACTGGCGTAGTACTTGGCAGCGGCCGGCGTGGGCCGCTTTGGCCTTGTGGACTATGACGTGGTAGAGAAGAGCAACCTGGCCCACCAAGTGCTACATGGCGAGGCACTGGCTGGACAGGCCAAGGCCGCTTCGGCCGCCGCCTCGCTGCGCTGCCTCAGTTTGGCGGTGGAATGAGTGTGGTACACTTAGGCCCTTATGCCAGCCACTACCCTAGACCCGGTCCGCCGATATGATGTGGTGGCCGAGTTCTCGGACAACGTGCCCGCTCGCTATCTGGTTAATGACGCATGTGTGCCGGCGGGTTGGCCCCTAGTGTCTGCAGTGCCTTGCGCTTCGACGGCCAAATCACAGTCTACCATTATGACGGTGGGCCTTGCTATCGCTGCATATTCCCCCAGCCACCCCCAGCGGAGACAGTGACCAGCTGCGCGGACCGCGGGATGCTGCGTGTGGTAACTGGGGTCCCGGGCTGCCTGCAGGCCTTAGAAGTGCTGAACATCGCTGCGAATCTCGGCCCCTCTCACAGTGGCAGCCTGTTGCTCTTTGATGCCCTGAGAGGGCATTTCTGCTGTATTCGGCTGCGGAGCCGCTGGCTCGACTGTGCAGCTTGCGGGAAATGGCCCGCTGTGACTGCTCTGCTGGACTATAAAGCCTTCTGTGGCTCCTCAGCCACCAATAAATGCCACTCCCTACAGTTACTGAGCCCAGAGGGGAGTATTTCTGTCACCGACTGTAAGTGACTTCTGGATTCTGGGGCACCCCACCTGTTGCTGGGCATCAGGCCTCAGATGGAGGAGAACATCTGTCATTTGTCTCATGCCCTACACATCCCTCTGAAATATTTGGAACACAGGGATGCGGAGAGCCTGAAGCTCTTAAGAGAAGAAGTCTGGGAAGGGAAGCAGGGCACACAAGAAGGGGCTGCTGTCCCCATTTATGTGATTTACAGACTGGGAAATGAATCACAGAAAGCCGTGAAGATCCTCCAGGCCTCATCAGCAGCTCAAGAGTTAGACTCTTTAACAGTTTGGAATATTGTGGGGGACCTCATGGCCTGGGCTGCCCAAAACGATGGAACACTTCCACAGTACGAAGGTGACTGGTACAGTCTGATGGGAAAGAAGTGTATGGCTGTAATACCGCAAAGATATATTTATTTGCGTTTTTCGGTAATATACATAGGAGCTGGAGATTCTACAGTATCTGTGAATACATGGACTCCTTTTTTATAAGGAGTTTTAAAAATTATTTTGTGCTGGGTGACTTGTTAATGGATTTAACTGTTTCTGGGAACCATCATTTTTTTTCAGCACATGGAGGGTGTCTTGAACATGTGAGATGTAACGTGACAGGATTTTGTGTTTTAAACTACAGATCATTTACCTGTCCTTATTTTCTACCTCCCCCAGTCAAAATGCTTTCTAAATCATTTTATACCTGGAATTAAGGTGCAGTAAACTTAGAATTATGAAATTGATCACAGATTATATACTTATGATCAGTTTACTGTTTAGTTAAGAAATTCTTGAATCTTATTAATATTTCAGATGATAGACTACATCTTACAGAAATACATGTTTAAAATGTAAATTGCTTTAATTATTCAGAAAGTGGGTCGTTCTATTTGGCATTTTGAAGTAGTATCAAAATGAGATCTTTAAAGTTTACCAAAATAAAGGAAACCACCTTTTTAGTCTGAAAAAAAAAACTATTATGAATCCTCATGTATAAGTATTTGTGTGGATATATGCTTTAATTTTTCTTGGGTAAATACCTAGGAGTTGACTTGCTAGGTTATATGGTAGATGGGTACACATTTAGCTCTACAAAAAATGGCCAAGAAAGGAAGAGTGGGGTCGGGAGAAAGGAAAAAATAGTTGCCAAAATGTTTTCCATAGTGGCTGTACCATTTTGTATTCTCTCCAGCAATGTATGACATTTCCAGTTGTTTTACATCCTCTATTATACTTGATATCATCAATTTTTATTTTTGTCATTCTCATGGTTATAAGAAGATATCTCATGTTGGTTTTAATTTGCATTTTTCCAGTGACTAATGATATTGACCATCTTCTCATATGCTTATTTGCCATCTGTACCTCTTCTTTGGTAATGTATGTGTTCAAATCTTTTGTTCATTTAAAAATTATGTTTGTCTTATTATTGCATTATGAGGGTTCTTTAATGTGCATATGAGTTGTCAGATACATGTTTTACAAATATTCTCCTGTAGTCTGTGGCTTGCCTTTTAATTTTTCTAACAGCATGCTTTAGAGAGTAAAAATTTTAAATTTTGATAAAATCCAATTATTGTTTTTTCTTTTATATTTAGTGCCTTCTGTGTTCTACATAAAAAATCTTTGCCTAATCCAGAGTCAAAATAATTTTCTCCGATGTTTTTTCCTAGAAGTTTTATAGTTTTAGATGTTATATTTAGATCTGTGATGCATTTTATATTTTTGCTTATGTTGTGAGCTAAGGGTCTAGGCTCATTTTTTTTCATAAGCACATGTAATCATTTTAATAGCACTTGTTGAAGATTATCCTTTCTCGGTCGCATTACCTAGGCATTTTTCTTGAAAATTATTTATATATGTTTGAGATTATTTCTGGAGTCTCTTTTCTCTTTTGTTGATCTATATGTATATCTTTATGCTAATGTCATACTGCTTTGATTACTGTAGCTTTTTATATAATAAGTGTTGAAATCAGGTAGTGTAAATCCTTCCACTTTTTCTTTTTTTTCAATCCTGTTTTGGGTAATCTAGGTCATTTTATTTCCATGTAAATTTTAGAATTAACTCACCATTTTCTATGAATAAATTCTCCCTGGATTTTCTTGTTTGTACATTAACATTTGTTGAGAAAAAGACATAAATGGCATATACGTTGAAAAGGAGGAAGTAAAACTCTTTATTTGCTGATTTGACCTCACAGTGACTCATTTCCTCGTGTGGCTTGTGAGAATTTTGCTAGTTTGTTTTCAGTGAATTTCCCCATACCCTGCATCCAGAAGACCCATATGCTCTGAACTATGAATTGGAATCTACATAAAAGCTACTAGAATTAATAAGTGAGTCTAAAAAGATGCAAGGGAAAATATACAAAAATTGTTTTTCTATATACTAGCAGTTAACTTAAAACAATATTATTTATAATGAAAATACATTACTATTTATAGTAAAAAAATACTATTTACATCAGCATAAAAAATATGAAAGACGTAAGAAGTGATTTAACAAGTTTGTACTGTTGAATAGGATGACCTTGCTCCCAGTCTTGGGGAAAAGCATTTAGTCTTTTACCATTAAGTCTGCTGTTGCTTGTAGATTTTTCATAGATGCTCTTTATGAAGTTGAGGCAGTTTCCTTCTACTCCTAGTTTGCTGAAAGTTTTGATCAAAAATAGATGTTGAATTTTGCCAAGTGCTTTTTCTGCATCTGTCAAGAAGATCATATGGTTTTCTTTAACTAGTCTGTTAATATGTTGAATTACATTGAGTTTTGAATGTTGAATCAGTCTTGTATTATTGGGATAAACTCCACTTGGTCTTATGTATACATTTTGGTATATTTTGTCTTCATTTTTATTCATTTCAAAACATTTAAAAATTTCCCTTTTGACTTCTTTCAATCATGGGATATTTATAAGTATGTTCTTTAGTTTCCAAATATTTGGGGGAACTGTCTAGAAACTTTTTTATTATTGATTTCTTATTTAACTCTCTTTCAATAACATTTGTATGAGATGATTCCTTTTAAATGTGTTGTTTTGTTGCCCAGATTATGGTCTGGGTAAATGTCCCATGTTCACTTTATAAGAATATGTATTTTGCTTTTGTTGGTTGTTCTACAAATGCTGATTAATTTTATTGATAGTGTTTTTCTAGTGTTTTAAATCCTTACTGAATTTCTGTCTACTTTTTCTATCAATTATTGAAGTTCTGGCATTAAAATATCCAACAATACTTATGAATTAATCTATACATTTATCCTTCTAATTACATCAGCATTTGCTTTGTGCATTTTGAAGTTTTTTTATTATCTGAATAAACATTCAAGATTGCTATGTACTCCTGATGACCTGTTCCCTTTATCATTATGGCATGATCCTTTTCTTTGGTAATATTTTATTCTGAAATTTAACCTTAGTATAGCCCCTCAGCTTTATTTGGTTAGTTTTAGTGTGGTTTATCTTTTTTCTATCCTTTTTACTTGTAATAATTCTGTCTTGTTACTTAAAGTGTATTTCTTGTAGATAGCATACATAGTTCAGTATTGTTCTTTTATCCAATTTTATATCTGTTTTTTTCGTTGGTGAGTTTAGACTATTTCCATTTAAGGTTGGATTTAAACCTACCATTTTATTATTTGTTTTCTATTTGTCTTCTACCTGTTCTTTGTTTTTGTTTTTGTTTTTGTTTTTTTGCTTTGTTTCTACCTTCTTTTGGATTAAATGAAAATTTATTAATATTATGTTTTAGGTTTTTTTTTTTGGCTTATTAGCTCTACTTTTTTTGTTGTTTAATGGTTGCTCTAGAGTTTACAGTATAACTTTTAAATTTATCATCATCTACTTTCAAATAATATTACAGTGATTCCCACATATTTTAAGAACCTTAAAATTGTATAGTTCTATTTCTTTTCTCTTGGTCTTTGTGTTGTTGTCTTACATTTTACTGCCACATGTGTTATACACCCAACTGCTATGGACTGAATATTTGTATCCCTCCACAGCTCACCTGTTGAAGCCAAATGCCCAGTGTGATGGCATTTGTAGGTGAAAGCTATGGGAGATAATTAGGTCAAGAGAATGGATCCCTCATGAAGGAATGGATCCTTCCCTTATGGGAAACCCATAAGGATTAGGGTCCTTATGAGAGACATGAGAAAGTTTACTTTCTCTTTTTTTGCTCTCTGCCAGAAGATGGCTATCTGCAATCCTGGGAGCCGGCTCTAACCAGACACATCTTCCAGTGCCTTCAGCTTGGACTTCCCACCCCACAGAACTGTGAGAAATAAATATTTGTTGTTTAAGCCACCAAGTCTGCTAATTTGTTATAGAAGCCCAAATTGATCAAGACACACAACAATATGTTATTATCTTTGTTTTAGAAGTTATCTTCCAAAGTATACTAAAAATAAGAAAAAATTTATATCTACTCACTCTTTTACCATTTCTGATGCTCTTCATCCCTTTGTGTAGATACAAATTGCCATCTGGTATTATTTGCCTTCTACTGAAGGACTTCCTTTACTATGTGCAGTGATGCTCATGATATATTCTTTTAGCTTTTGTATGTCTGAAAAAGTATTTACTTTTATTTTTGAAGGATATTTTTGCTAGGTATAGAATTCTAGTTTGTCAGCTATTTTGTTAATTGCTTTAAATATGTTGTTCCACTGTCTTTTGACTTGCATTGTTTCTGATAAGAAATATATTGTCATTCTTATTGCTGTTCCTTTGTATGTAATGTGATGTCTTTTTTTTTTCCTGCCTACTTTTCAATTTTTCTTTGTCACTGTTTGTTTAGAAACCTGATGATGATGTACCTTAGTTTGGTGTTCTTACTGTTTCTGCTTGGGGTTTGCCAAACTCCTTGGATATATGTGTTTATAATTTTCTTCATATCGGTAAAATTTTTTGGCCAATTGTTTCTTCAAATATTTTTGCTATACTTCCTTTCTCTGAGACTCCAGTTATATGTATAGTAGGCCACATGATGTTGTCTTCTTTTGAATTTCTTTTCTTAAAAGTCTTTTTTCTCTGTGTGTTTTATTTTGTTTAGGTTTTATTGCAATGTCTTCATGTCCCTAAATCTTCTACAATGCCTAATCTTCTGTTAATCTCATCCAGTGTATTTTTCATCTCAGTTATTTTATTATTCATCTCCATAAATTTGATTTATATCCCAATTTATCTTCCATTTCTGTTCTTAATGTGCTTTTGTGGAGTACATTTATAATAGCTGTTTTAATTACCTTGTCTAATGATTCTGTAATCTCTGTCATTACTGGATCTGTTTCTAGTTATTGAATCCCTCCCACTCCTACTCCCCATTTTTCTTTTTTGCCTGCCTGGTGATTTTTGGTTGG